CGGTCGACTAAAGCAAGGTCGGGGCTGATCCGGTCGATTCATATCAGAATCTAGTTTTCATGTGAAATGATTATGATCTTAATAAGTGTTCGAATATCTGTCCATTATTTAACGTACAAAAATTTATTATTAAAATATTAAATTGTGTAAAGTAATTACACAGTGATAATCGTAGCACATACAACCATTTACTTTATTAAGAACCCTATTTCTTATAATTCATAAAGAAATAAATAACATCATTTTTAGAAATATTAATATTTATTCCCTAAAGTTTAGATGATATTATTTTATTCCTTTTCACTGTTATAATTTAACTAGTACTTAACGAAATGTAACTTAATTATAGTGTTTTGGAAAGCTCTCGAGATGAGCTGTAAGAATGTACAATGAGAAATAAGAGGTTCCATTTAAAAAATTAAAGGTGACCTTCACATGATCTTCAGAGGACTATCCAAGGTCAAATCGATGGCACCATCTTATGTCCCCCTTCGAGTCAAACAACTTTTGTCTGAAACATTTTTGTCTACTGAGTTTAGTTTTCGAGATATTTGGCTGGATCATTTAAAATGGGACACCCTGTATGTGTGTGTGCGTGTGTGCGTGCGGGTGTGTATACATATAAAATTTTGAGAAGATTCTAGACAAGATGTCATTTGTTACTTTGGTGCAGATACTAGATGCGCATGATTATGCAATGGTTAGATATTTTCCATCATTGACAATGGTACTTGCATAAGCTATGGGTTCTTGACCGAAGAGGGCAAGAGACGAACAGAGAAATGGGTCCTCTCGGCTCGGAGATTCTGAATAGTAATGATTATAGTAAATTGCTCTTGGCTTGGGGTGCCTAATAGCCACTCAGTGGGGTTGTTGAAACCGCTCGCCCCTTCGTTCAACCTTTGATGCCCCCGACCGAGTCAACCCTTCAAAACTTGATTGTTTCTACCCTGTTCCGCAGCGCGGATGGAATCTTGTTCATTCTTTTTGGATGTTCTCGATATGTCTTACCGACGTGCATATTTCTTCTTCCCACGATGCGTCCAACGCAGTGTCTTTCAAATTTTTTATTTCTCTTTTATTTCTTGCTTATTTGATGTGTCGTGTTAAAATCGTTCTCATTTCTAACATTGTTAAGTAACAGTGTTGAGTAGAAAATTTCTTTATCTCTTTATTCAGTCTTGGTTATTTTACGCGAAAAAATTTTTATTTTATTGTTAATTTTGTTAGCTTCCAGCTAATACCTCGCGTGCGATTGTTTCTCGCGTGGGATTGTTTCTCGCGTGCGATTGTTGAAAGAGGAGTTCTAAATGTTTATAATTTTTGCTATCCAAAAAAAGTATAGCCACGTAAACAAATGCTATACAAATATGTGATCATCGCGTTGTGACAGTATCAAAAAAACAAGCAAGGGGAGAGGGAGGGAGAGAGAGAGAGAGAGAGAGAGAAGAGGGGAGGAATGAGACAAGGTAAGTTAAGGACAGAGCGAGATATTAAACATCAAGATTCGTCTCTTATTATAGCAAAGAGAACCGTTAAGGGGATATTAAAGGGGGTCTTGTTATATCAAGATTACGTTTTAGGAGAAATCTCTGAATTGGCTTCACGGATTGCACAATTTTTTTTACAGAATTAAAGAACGCATAATGAGAAATCCCGAAAAACATGATTTCATGAGAAAATCGCGGAAAAAAATTAAAAAATTCATTTTTTCTGTCAACGTAAAACTGTCACCTGAGGTTAACATTTGCTTGATATAAAAGTTTACAGCTTGTAGATTGAAAATAAGCGTGAAACGGGATTCAGCTTACTTGAAGAAACACTATTGAATTTGGGGAATTAAGATTTAAAGCGTAAAAAAAAATATTTTTTCTAAAACGAAATTATGTGCTTTGCAAGAACTCGAACAGAATTCCGACGTCACAGAGCCGAAATTCCGTATTCGGAATACGTATAGTAGTAGTTGCGCGGTCTTGCGATAGATGGTGCTGGCATATGTTAGATAAAGACAGATGTATGCGTTTGAGTGAGACAGAACGACATATAATATAATGTAAGAAATGAGTCAAAGATGTCACTATTATCCAATTTGGAATTAAAAAGGTCTGTATTGTCGATCTCGATCAAGTTCGGTAATCGGTTTAGGATCCCCTTAAGGCGTAAGGAATCGATATCTAATATTACACATGCACGCTTCTGCATGTGCTCGAGTGCATGCATCCGTGCGCCGCTAATTGATTGTATGTGTACAAATAATGGCGATATACAAGTTAATAAAAAAGCATTCAAGTATCAGCAATAGTAGTATGAATGATTGAGATAGAAGCTTCATAGGGTGATTTTTTTCACATCAATGAAGAAGAGTTGAAAAACGAAGAACGGAATAACGCAAAAAGAGCTTAATAATGAAGTTAAAGAATGTACAGATAGAACATTCGCCTGCTATGTATTACAGAACTAGGAGGCCAACATGCTAACGTACAACTATTCAAGAATAAAAGATTGTGGAGATGCGAGAATAAAAGACAAAGTTATAGTGCGTTGTCTTTCGCTGAAAAAGGAAAGTGAGATGGGAAAGAGAAAGAAAGAGGAGAAGAGAGGGAAAGGAAGAAGTGAAGTCAGAGAGAAAGAGAAAGAGAGGGAGAGGGTGAGAGGGGGAGAATAAGGGAGAACATGCCAGCAAGGACTATGCCCACGCTATGGTCCATTCATCCACGTTAACTGTAACCACCTGTACAATCTGACAGTCCAGTTCTAACGACGTACGTAGGTACTCTTCTATGGTATTCTCTACAAGAGACAATATCCACAAAATTCTTTCCCAATATAAGCGCAATAGTTTAAAACGTTATTATATACGTATATCGATGAAAATCGATGATATCGTGTTTGGAAAATGTCAAATACGTTTATGTGTATTATCTTCTATACGTACTATTATACCATCAGGCTATCACGATACTATATACAATAATAAGAGATGAACTTTTGAAGATTTTTTCGAAATTTAATATTGATTATTGAAAAATATTGCATTCTTTTGCATACCATATATGTATATATAGAATCTTTTAAAAATGTATGCTATATATACTATATTACTGTATAATCAATATTAATCGATAATAAAAATGAAGTAGAAAACATTTTTTAAAGAAATAAATTCTTAGGAATTATATATATGGTTTTATTTAGAAACTCTGAAATACGCGCACGCACGCACGCGCGCGCGCTCACACACGCACGCACACACACACACACGCGCACACACACGCACGCACGTACGCGCACGCACGCACACGCACGCGCACGCACACACACACACACACACACACGCACACACACACACACAC